AGATGGCAAAGCCAGCACGCTGGCTGCCATCATAGTTGAAGTGGGTAAGCCAGCACGCTGGCTGCCATTGTCCCCTTACCAGCAGCCCAAATGCTCACGACGATGAGCTGGGCTGTCACCGCTTGGCCGCCGGTGGGGGGTTTGGGAGGCCGCATCACACACAGACACCCACACACTCCCTCAACTTACACGAACACACACATACGCAGACTCATTTCCACACGGACATAGACACACGCACAGAAACCCACACACTACCTCAACTCACTCGACTTCACACTTCTCACTGCACACTTACCGGATAACTCGCACTCTGACTTCCTACGTGATGAAAAATGCTTTCGGGCCACTCGTCGTCTAGTTTGTGTTTGTGCCTTTCACTCTGGAACCACTGTAGCCTTGAGAGACAGAACGAATCGGTGTGGATCGGCTGTTTAGAGGAACGACGAAATAGACCCACAAGGTCCCCTGCACATATATATATATATATATCAACCCATTTGCGTCTTTCACCCACAGGGGACGGCCATGAGACGTGGGATTGTAAAGCCAAGCCCGGTTGTTAAAGAACCATTCTAAAAGACCCTTCCGGTTCAGGCGCTGCCCACTAAGAACTCCTCAACGTTTAAGTTTTTTCGAGTCGTGGGATTGGAGGATCCTCGGATGCTTGCTCCCACATCACCTTTTCCCCATCTGTCATCCATGATAATACCTACCACATATTCAAGAGCCACATCGAACCCCGTTTTGATCAGAGTTTTCTTACACGTTGTTCCAATACACCTTCGTTTCTTGGTGGAAACCGTTTCTAGACACATACAATGCAAGACAAACACCTACGGACCGCCAGGGCAAGGAAAGGAAAATTCCACCTTCTTAGACCGCAAACAGCTTAGTTGGCAAGAATTGTTGTTGTTGTGGCGGTGACCCAAACCGTTTTTCGTCGACCGGTGCATCGACTCCACTTGCCTCTTAGGTCATTTTGCACATGTGGCACATGATGAGATCTTCTACGTCCCGGTCTTCGAGGACACAGGACTCTCGGCTTGGTGGCAGCCACACAGTGTCGTGGCCATTGTTGCCCACCTTGGGCCTTCCATCAATGGCCACTATCGTGCGGCCATTCGATTGGGGCATGAGGGATCATGGAAGGTCTGCGACGACAACGTTGCACCTTGTCTTGTAGAGGGGTTGCCGGACTGGGTATACACGCGAAGGGGTTCTTTGGTGGACAGTGCCGGTCACTAGGAGCAAACCCGTGCAGTAGACTACAAGTGGGCTGGCGCTCCCTGGCCTGAGACGATGTAGTCTCGAAACCGCTTCGAACCAATGCGCCGCCACGGTGCACCACCTGGCCATGGGCAACTTGACAACCTCCGCCTAAAGGGCACACGTCACACGCAAACAGCACCCGTTTTTTTGATCAGCGAGTTGCACAAGCAATCGGGGTCACGATGCTGCATTGGCTGTGTCGTACACAAGGCAAAAAACAGCTGCCCCCGGAAAACCGCTGTTTCAACTCTGCGGCAGCGCGTCCTGCGCCACAAAACCCAACGGGAACTCTGCACCGTTTATCCACCTTGAAGGTGATGGGCGCGTCCTCGGATGGCTTGGTCTTGCCCAAGTTTTGCACCGTATGGTCAACCTCCGGACAATGTGCAAAGTTGCATGTGGCGCAGCTGTTGGCCTTCCTGCTTGAATCCACACGGCATGGTTTCCAGAGCGACAAACATATTGAACAAGAACTTCAACGCCAAAAACGAGCACGATTCAACAACACTCTCCAAGGGTCCCTACACCTTTTTGCACGCCCACTGTCATCTCAACAGCTCTGTAGGATACAGTCCGGCAAAACAAACACCACAGAAACATGAGTGATTCTATGTGACCACAGCGCTGCGCCATGTCATCATACTACTCGACTCTGGTGATACACCAAGGCTCACTGGAGACAATGCCAAGTTTGAGACAACAAGATTGTTCGTCGGAAGTTCAAGAAACGCCATCCCTGACAGTTGTTGTAAGTGTTCACTTGTCTTTCGACAGGCACAAGTGGCCGTCCTTGCTCATGAGGTCGCTCGCGATGTTCGTCAACTTGTCCTTCAGGACTGCACCTTGCACACGTTTAAGGTCAACAGGATCGAAAAATTAGGAATGAACTTGGTCATTGTGTTTTTCCATTGTTCGGTCATTGTTTTACAATGTATAGCAGGCCTTGGGGGGTCGTTGGTTCGAACACGACAAAACTGCCCCTCCTTCTTGCGATAGCGTGTGAGAAACGTCTCTGGCACAATTGAGCCGCCTGGCCTGTAGTGAGGTTCTCCATGATTGCCTACAGCCAAAGTGAAACTTCGCTTCAAACCCACATATTTCCCGCAAACATGAGCCAGTGCTTCTATCCTGGACCATTTCAAAGGCCCATCATGGAAGCCGTTGCTGCATACTCAGAACATCATTCATGAATATATGCGCCCCTCCCCATAGACCAGATTTTGACACAAACTTGCACTGGGAACCTGCTCATTTTTCCAAAATGGCCGAACCACACATTTGGACCAAAAAGGCGTGGATTTTCTGCATGCTCCTCACCTAAAACCATGTTCGAAAGTTTCGAAAGCATTCTAAACACTGGACGGTGCATAAGTACGCTGTCAGAAGGTTGCGCGAGTGTTCACTGTCCAATGTCAGCATTTGTGTGTGTGTGTCAACTCCTGCTCCTAAGCATCCTGGCCACACTAAGGAATTCGATTCACGTTGATCCATACTAGGTCCTTCCACCCACGGGTACAGCAAATTCAGCTGCGGGAAGGGGGACCTCTAGCTGTAGCCTCTGCCAACGAAGCTCTACACTGGACGATCAGGTAAACGTACCTGCTGTGGGGCACCTGGGCGCATTGTAAGACGCAGTCGGTGACACTTTAATTCACCCGTAAAGTGCTAATGCACCTTGTTAAACCTTCTGTTGAGCCGACTTCTGTTCTGCAAGTCAAGGTCTAGCTTCAGTAACGTAAAGGGCTAGCTTCACGTGGACGTCATAACAGATAGAGCTCTTGCGAGCATGGATCGAAGTGTGTCTGGCAACAGGGTCGCACAGAGGTTCTGTGATCCCCGCGGAGGGGCACGTTGAGCACAGACCCGCAACGGGGCATAGTCAGAGATTGCTCGTCCTGCATGATCGTCCATCTCCTGAAAACCGCTTGCTCGAGATTGCTGAGCACATGCCGCAGGGCCCACTGACTTTATCACAGAATGACATGCTTCACGCGTCTAAGTATTCATAGTGCTTGACCGATCGCTCGATCTTTTCTCGATGCTAAAACGGCTGTTGGTATACTTCTCGATTTGTGCTTGTCCTCAAGACCTGCACTCCTCCCTGGTCGACAGGTTTTTTCTTCTGACGACCAGCATCCTACAAAAGCGAGCCTCTAGCTCAAGCCGTAGTCCTTACAAAGTTTGCACTGCCTGATTTCAAGCATTGCTCCAGTGACAGCTCTACACCTCGCGTCAGTGTGGAAGTTGCCCACCTGGTCCTCATAGATGAAGTCCATCACCCCCAAGCCATTGTGCCCTCGTGCGGACTGCTGGCAGATCCCACAAATTGGATGCCCTCGAACTCTGTTGGCTTTTCGAAGTCCTCTGCATTCCCTTCTTCGGTGAAAACACTGACTGGACTCGGCAAACCAAGCTTCCCATGGAGGGTCCAATGCGAACCTCCTTCGCCTTCCTGTCAAGGAAATTTGCAAATGCTGCTCCGACGGCCGATCCATCTGGTTTGGAGGTTCTCCATGGTTCTTCCTGTTCCAAATGATCATCTCCTCGAGCTCCTTGAGTTCCTTGAGTTCCGGAATCATACTGCTCTGCAGATCGAATCTCATTTCCTCTCGTAGACGACAATGAGCTCCTCGAAGTACTTCCATCACAGTGGCTCCCATGGTTTTGATGCCCTTGCACTGTGTCGGATCTTCCGCTTCTTTCGCCAACCGATCTGGTAGTAGGCCTTGTACTCGATGTAGCCCCATCAGCTGTCACCCTTATACTCCTCATGGTCGGATCTTCCCTCGGTCGATTCCAACGCATATGGCATCGTTGAAGGATCTTCATCAGTACCACTCCTAGGATCATCATGATCGCCCCGAACATGTAGAGCACCTCTGACCCATCGTCATTCCCTGACTCCTTCTTAGTGTCGTTCTGTGTGGCCAATGCTCCATGAATCTTCTGGAACATTGTGATGACCGTCACCAACTGTGCGACCTTCTTGAAGTCGTTTTCCAACCACAGGCAGTTCACAACAGGAAGATCTTCTTCTGGTTCATCTTCTTGCCTGTCTCCCCCTTTTGGTCGCCATCCCATTTCCATATTTCGCGTGAGGTTCTGCATGCGAGTTGGTGCCAACACCTTCGTGCCAATGTCAGCAACCAAATCCTTGCCGGGCTCATACTTCAAGTCCCAAGACCCAGCCTCAAGTTTCCATCGAAGGTGTGCTGCTCTCACCTTCAGGTGGCGTGTCCTCCATGCTCCGGTGGCTGAGCTTCCCAAAGCAATGGCCGCCGTGTTGTCACACTTCAGGACCTTCGGCATGTTTCCAGCCATCTCCTCAACCAAGCAACTCACACTGTCCCCAGGGACGACTGACTCAATGACTTCAATCAACTCTGCCTCCGCAGTGGACAGCGCTGGAAAAGGCTGTTTGGAGGATTTCCATGCGATTGGTGAGCCACCCAACAAAGTGATCACACCCATGTGAATGTCCTCCACCAGGCGCAAACGAAGCATCACTGGTCGACTCCAGTCCAAATCCACACTTCTTGCGGTACCAAATGCCAACTCCTTGGGAGTGATTCAGGTAGCGCATGACTTGATGGGATGCTTCCAGGGCCCAAATTGGAGCTCTCGATGTAGACGAGCAAATCCGGCTCACAGCATAGGAGATATCTGGCCTCGTCTTCGTTGACAGCCATAGTAGTTCACCAGCTGCTTGTTGTGCTGCTCGAATGTCATGCGGAGTTTTCCCAGGCTCATCCTCTGGTTCAGCTGTAGTTCTCATCACCAGATTCGATGCCCTGGCGTCCATGGAGTGTCTTCTCAACAACTCCCTTAGGAATCCGCTCTGGTTGATGAAGAAGCCCTCTGTGTTTCTGTAGATGTCGATCCCACAAAAGCGCAACGGATCTTCTCCGGCCCACTGTGGTTCCGTCGTCTCCCAAGTTTGAGACACCCTTTTCGTTGCTTCTTCAACCACTTGAGGATCTCCAAGGACCAACAGGTCATCTACGTAGACCAATGCCAACCCACGCACTAGGCCAGAAGACCCATCTGATCGGTCCTTCTCTCGTAGGATCCAAAGATTCTCATCTGCGAAGCTCTGATTGAAGGCAATCTGAACATCGTTCACCTTGAACTCCATGGTCGATAGTTGAGCATCACGGTGATCACCCCACAGCTTTGGTGCTTCTCTTAGTCTTAGCCCATAGAGTGCTCGCTCAACCGTCCACATCTCTCCTTCTTGAACCAAGCCCAACCGAATCAGGATCCGTGGGGGTTGCATCAGAACCAAACGCTCCCTTCGGTTTGGATCCACCTTCTCCTCCACATCCTGCTCTATTGGCTGGTGCCCTCCTTCTTCTCGATCTTCCAGGGCCACGAGTTTCTTCTTCTTGCTTTCCTCCACCATGCACAAGGGGGCATTCAAAAGGCTGTTTTCACGTCCAGTGCAGCTGCTGTCCAATCATTCTGAGCTCCCACAGCTAACGCCGCTCTCAGACACGTGGTATCTGCACCACCGGCGTATAGTTGTGCCGCCTCCTGCTTGGCTCCTCCCGCTCCCGCGCCACTGAGGTAATTCCCGCACACTACCAAGCGGCACTTTTTGCGAGCGTCCGGGGCCTTGATAGAGTGAATCGCTTTCCCTGGGACGACTTCTAACTTGTCGCTGTGTTCACGTCTATAGTATGCCACATCTTGCAGAGTCCGCCTCCTGATGGCTTTCTTCTCTTCCAGCGATTTGATTTCCTTCATTATCGCCTCGATCCATTCTGCCTTGTTCAAAAAGACTTCTTCGTTTGGAATGATGCGTGTCTGAAGGATCTCGTCTTCCTCAGGTCTCGTCGCTTCAGCTTCCTGCTCTGCCCGAAATGGAGCTAGGCCTCGCTGCAATGCTGGAACTTCTCTTGCCTCAGAGCCCAGCATGTGTTGCTCCTCATCATAAAGAACCCGAAAGAGATTGACCCTTTGTCTCTCTTCTTCTTCCTCTTCCTGAGTCTTCAAGCATGCAACACTGGCCTTCTCCCTGAGCCTTCGTCTCAACCTCAACGGATCTTCATCTGCCGTCACCTCAACGAGTGCCAGCTCGTCCTGATCCTTCACCGGCTCCTTGATGTCCTTGATCGTGTAACTCACGACCTTCACGAACCCCCTGTCCGTAAGGACGGCATGTCCCTTTGACACCTCAGGAACTGGTGTGAGGTACTTCACCTGCTCTCCAGTGGACTCAAAAGCTCCTTGACGTTGCAGCTCCCAGGACCTCTTCTTACCACGGTCTGTCCGAAATGAGGTAGCTTCTCGGTGATCTTCTCTCTTCGACGTCTCTCCAGTTCTACAACATGCCTTGCGGCTGCTGGCCACCAGCACACTTCCATCCCAGCCCCATGCAGTAGTCGCCGCACCCTCTGCTTGATGGGGTTGATGGCCGCCTCAGCTCTTCCATTCTGGGCATGTTCATCAGGGCAACTGGTAGTCCTCGACAATCCCCTTTCCAAGCACCACCGCCTGAAAGAGCCATTGCAGAACTCTCGTCCTTGATCAGTGTGAACCCGACCAACTGGATATCCATGCCGTCGAAGTCGGGTGAAGAGTTCCTGAGTCCCTGCCAAGACCTCCTGTGCACTCTTTGAACCCAGCGCAACACAGAGCATCATCGTGACGACTTTGGTCGGCTTGTTCTTCGCCTTCAGCTCTTCTTCAGTCAAATCTCCTTGCTCCACCTCCTCCGGCTTCTTGTTCTTCCTTCTCACTCGGTTCAAGTTCTCCTCCCGGATGTACTTCCATCCTTTCTTCATCTTCATGAACCAGGACCCTCCGCCTCAGATTGAGGATAGTAATCTTCCATGTCAGGATATTCGTCTTGCCAGGGTTCCCGAATTGGCTCCAAAGGAGGAATTCCTTCAGCTTCTTCCTCTTCCAAGACTGGCCATCCAGGCTTCCCTTCGCAAACCTCGTCTTTCTCCCACTCATGTCCTTCATAGACCGGCCACGTGTAGGATCCAACCAGGAAATACTTCTTCTCATCCCCATCGATGTCCTTTCCTTTTGCAAAGGGTCCAGACAGGTCCAGTGCAAGGACGCATGGTTCAGGGATTCCCTGTGCTCGATGAGGTCTCTGACGAGCAGCTGCTCGTTGGCACACTCCACAATCCCGTCGAAATGGAATGTGTCCTTGTGCTAGGTGTTCCCTCCACGACAGAACCTGCAGAGTCACCCTCCTTTTCTGAATGTGCTTGACCACCTGGGTTGCCACTTCTCTCATCATCCCAGGAGCCCATCTGGCAAGGTCCTTGCTTGTCACTTCTGCTCGAGGCCTCGAGTCCACGGGCTCCTCCAGGAGTCTGAAACGGGAAATTGAGTGCCAGTGAAGTAGGCTTTGCGGCAAGGCCTCCAAAGTCTCCCTGGTTGAAGGTGAGCAAATCAAGTCCCAAGATAGTCTTCAATGCCTTCCACTCTCCAGTTCTCCAAAATGAAGCACACGTAGGTTCTTGAGGAGGTTCTGCGGGTTGTTCAAGGAGAAAGCAGACCTTTGGGTTCAGTCGCAACTTGGAGCCTTGTCCCAACCTCACATCCCTTCCCATCTGCGCCACCACCTGGAGGAGAATCATCCGGTAGCGTCATCAGTGTAACACTTGGCAGCTTCCGCTTCGCTGTTACGTGGAAGCCCCCATGGGTACGTAGTTGTCCTCGATGGCCCAGGCCTCCTCTCATGCGGCTGGTGCCTCAAAGTTGACCTTGTTCGGCAGTTGGGACCTCCCAAGATTCCATCTACCCATCCATCCATGCACATCCTCAGAAGGATCGCGAACATGCCGTCGTCGGCCATCATGTCGTGGGATTTGTCCCTGAGAATGTCCACCTCAAGAATGCGAGTTGGGTCTCCTCCCATCTCCTTCACCGCTCTCTGCAAGTAGTACCCCTCTTTTGGCCCTGCATAGAGGTGCACTGTCACTCCTTCTCGTTCCCACCTCCGACGAATCCGGCAATTGACTTGCAGTCCGCTCAGATCCCTTGCCGGGGTGTCCACCAACTTGTCTCTAATCCTTTGCGGCATGTTCTGGAACACCGGAAAGTCTCGAACCACCTGATCGAGCCAATTGGTGTGAATGCCTTCATCGGCAAAGACCTGACACCTCAATGCCATTTTTGAGTTGGACTCTTCAAGTTCTTGAATGAGTGCCAGCGCTTCTGCATAAGCCACCATGGGACAGCCCTTAACCAAATCCACATCGATGAGGCCTCTCAGCGGGTGTAACAATCGGCAATGGTCCCCCTCCCATTCCAGGTTGCAGCCAAGGTCCTTGATCAGTCGGCCAACCGGGACTATGGGCTCAACTCGCTCATCCACATGGACCAACACCTGCCCTTCGGTCATCCGCAATGTGAGTCGTCCTCCTGCGGCCAACGACACTTGAACCTGCCTGTATCGCTGCAGGTTCTCTCCAGGTCGCCGAGGTCGCAGTGCATGAGTTGCTCCTGTGTTCAGAAGTCCATTGCTTCCAACTTGAACCCTAGCCACCGACACGGCCTTCATGGTCGGGGTTGCAGGCCCTTCTTTGATCCTCTTCAAGGCCTCCACTAAGTCCGTTTTCTTGGATTTCAAGGCCTCCACTAAGTCCGCCTCCTTGGATTTCTCCCCTTGGATCGACATGCCCCTCAGCATTCTTTGTGCTTCAAAGCATCTTCGTTACCTCCCTCCATCATATCCGACCCACAAGTCGAAGGAGGTGATCCAGGGTTCGGGAACACTGAGGACGATGTTTCCGAAGGTGCTGACGAAGAAGCTCCTCCCACATCCTTCACCTTCTGAATCTTCGGCTTTGGATCGGGACGCTTTCCATCACCCTTGCCACCATCTCCACCAGTAGTTCCAGACTTATTCGTCTCCTTTCGAGTGCAATCCTTGGCATAGTGGTTGGTAGCACCACAGACACAGCACCTCTTTTCTCCAGGTTCTGCTTGATGCTGCCATCGGCAAGCCGACATCCTGCATCGGTTCTAAAGTATTTGCAAATGCCGGGACTCTTGCCTTCTGGATTTCCTTCTCCCTTTTTCTCATCGACAAAGGCCGCCTTCACCTGTGGACCTCCTCCCTGATTCCCAGCCCTTGGAGCGCCACCAGTTTTCGGCCTGACTCGATGCATGAGTTGTTCAAGTTCAGCAAGTAAATGCTCAGCATATGTCTTGACCGTCTCCTCTGTTGGGATCGTATCTAACTGCAACGTATTCCTCACCAGAGAAAACCTGAATTGCAGATCAGGCTGCTGGGCCAACACCTTCTGGCTCAACCTCGTGATGCCCTTCGTGAGGATCGTTGAGTCCGGAAGATTCAAGCCAATGTCCGAAGCACGTCGAAGCCAGCGCATCCACTTCCGTAATCCGGTGCATGCTTCAGCTGGTGAGGTTGTTTCCGACGGCTCTTCAAGTTGTCTCAAAATGATGGAGCGTTCATGCGTCCCACCTGGTTGATACAAGACCATGAGCTTGCTGACCAGCCTCAATGGGGAAAGTGCCCTGGTAGCCACCAATTCCTCCTTCACGCTTGTTGGCACAGCTGCAAGCATCATGCTGATGGCACGCTTTTCCACCCGCACCCGTTTGGGCTTCTGCCCTGCAACTCCAAGGAGGGCTCGATGACGCAGGTCGCTCGTTGAAGTGGTCGAAGATGGATGTAGTGGCTATACCATTTTCGTGCCTCATCCACCACCTGCAGTTCCCACCATTGCCCCGAGGAGTCACTCAAATCTGTCATCGCTGGTTCTATCAGCGTAAGCCAATCAGCCAGGTCAATCGGCGCCGAATCTGTTGGTTCAGGAAGCGTAGGAAGTGTCACCGTTCCAGGCTTCACAGATTCTGGGGCCCCGTCCCGGCTCTCCTTTTCCACAAGATGGTTGACCAATTTGGCCATCACCTCCTTCATCTTCTCACCCTTAACCCCGTCTTGACTTCCTGAGGCTTCGGGCTGAATGGGCTGCGTCGTTGTAGATCTCCTCCGAGATTGACCAACCCCCTTTCCATTGACCTGTCGAAGCTCCTCTTCATAGGCCTTGGCTCTCGCTGCCACCGACCCTTTAGTCTGCTCCTCACCAGGTCCTGATGCTCTCGGCCCTTGCACTGACCTTGAGCGTTCTCGTTGTCCACGTCCTCGACTTCCACGATTGCCAGGTGCAGGAGTGCCCATGAGGGATTGAAGCTGCTCGAACTGTTGCATTGGCATCAGCTCATAGAGGCGCTTCCTCTCCTTCTCCAGGTCAATCTCCTTCTCCTGTTCACCCGCTGTCATCTCGAGGTGGCGCTTCACAGTGTCCCCACT